TGTGGAGTATAAGAACAAAGAAAAAACTGAGGGAACAAAACAGCAGCAGATTCACAGAAATCAAAAATGGACTGACAGTTACTAAAGGAAATGGACTGGGGAGGATGGGTGGGAAGGGAGGGAAAAGGGGGAATAGGGGCATTAGGATTAGCACACACAGTGTAGTGGGGGTGGGCACGAGGAAGGCAGTACAACACAGAGAAGACAAGTAGTGATTCTATAGCATCTTACTACGCTGATGGACAGTGACTGTAATGGGGTTTTATGGGGGGACTTGATGAAGGGGGAGCCTAGTAAACATAATGTTCCTCATGTAATTGTAGATTAATGATACAAATATATATAATATATATATATATATATATAATACATCACACACACACACACAAATAACCAGAAAGTACTGGCACAAGAACAGACCCATAGATCAATGGAGCAGAGAGCCCAGTTGTAAAACCCACACATATATGGTTAATTAATTTATGCAAAGGAAGAAAAGACAGCTTTTTCAGTAAATGATGCTGGGAAAATGGGACAGCTACAGGCCAAACAAAGAAACTGAACCACTTTCTTATACCAGACACACAAATAAACTGGAGATGGACTGATTACTGACCTAAATGTAAGACCTGAAACCGTAAAACTCCCAGGGGAAAACATGATCAGTAAACTCTGGGACATCAGTCTTTGCAATAGTTTTTGAACCAGTCTCCTCAGACAAGGAAAATAAAAGCTAAAACAAACAAATGGAATTACATCAAACTAAAAACCTTTTGCAAAGTGAAGAAAACCATCAACCAAGCAAAAAGACAACTTCCTGAATGGGAGAAGATATTTTCAAATCATATACCCAATAAGGGGTTAATAATAACAAAATATAAAGAACTTATACAATTTAGTATTTTAAAAACCCCAAATAACACAATTTAAAAAATGGGCAGAGGACTTACATAGACATTTTTCCAAAGAAGACACAGAGGTGGCCAACAGACACAAAAAAAGGTGCTCAACATCACTCATCATCAGGGACATGCAAATCAGAGCCACAACGAGATACCACCTCACACCTGTCAGAATGGCTCTTATCAAAAAGACAAGAAACGACAGGGTTGGTGAGGGTGTGGAGAAATGGGAGCCCTCCTATACTGGTGGTGAGAAAGTAAATTGGTGCAGACACTGTGGAAAACAGTAAGGAGGTTCCCCAAAAAATTAAAAGTAGAACTACCATATGATCCAGCAATTCCACTTCTGGGTATTTATCTGAAAAAAATGAAAACACTAATCTGGAGAGATATATGCACCTCTCTGCTCATGGCAGCATTATGCACAGCATCCAAGACATGGAAGCAGCCTAAGTGTCCAGGGATAATGAATGAATGGACAGAGAGGATGTGGTGCATATACACAGAGGAATGTTACTCAGCCATGGAAAAGAAGGAAATTCTGTGATTTGTGACAGCATGGATGAACCTATAGGGTATTATGTGAAGAGAAATAAGACAGAGAAGACAAAATACCATATAATCTCATTTATATGTGGAATCTAAAAACCAAAACAAATGAACAAACAAAACCAAACAGAAACAGACTCATAGATACAGGAAACAAACTGTTGGTTACCAGAGAGGAGGTGTTGGAAGGTAGGTGAGACAGGTAAAAGGGATTTTTTTGTAAAAACTTCAGTTATAAAATAAGAGGGTCATGGGGACGTAATGTATGGCACAGGGGACAGAGCTGATTATACTGTAACAACTTTGTATGGAGACAGAGGGAAGCAGCACCATATGCCCACTGGGACGGCTCGGACTGAAAGCACCCGAGTCTACCCGGCACTGGTGAGCATCTGAATGGCGCGAGCGCTCCATCTGTCCTCAGCACCACACTGGAAAATGGCTGGCAGTTTCTTTTAAAGTCGAACATGTCCTCACTATACAATTCCACAAAGCCCCTCCTCAATATTAACCAGGGAAATCAAACACATGATCACACACGGACTTCATTATGTCCTGATTCTGGCATACTCGTTCGTCAGAATGCATCTAAATGGACAGTTAAAAAGAGTGCACTTCACTGCATATAAATTTCACTGTATAAAAGATTGTTTTAAATAACGAAAATTTTAAACTGGAAAGTGAAAATAAACAGAAACAAATATTACTATGTGATATTTCACTACAGATATCAGACTACTAAAATGATAAAGTTCAGTGACAGCTGGATAATGGGAAGACTGACTAGTCACAAAATAGATCTTATACTTGAGTCAAATAATATCTCTTTAGGAAATATATTCCAAAGATATAACAGGGAAGAACAAGAACAAAGACCTCTGTGTGTTTATGTGCAAAACAGAGACATTCTGTATATAGCTATGAAACAGTTTAGGAACGGCCTAACTGCCCAATCAAGAGAGGAAGACAGTCCAGTAAAATCGTGTTAAAGCAGCGAAACAGAACCTCTCTGGGACCGACAACTTAAGCTGCACTGCATGAAAACAGTAGAGACTGGGGCTCGTGAGTGTGGGTGTATATTAGCAACACTGGGCAAGTCACGGAACTGCTCTGGGAAAGACGTTTGCCCAGCTGTGACAGGCTGTGTCACTAGGGATTCAATGACTTGCAGAGGAAGCCCTTTGAACAATCCCTGGCACTCAGTGACCCCTAAGCGCTAGTGATCTGTATGTAAAAAGTCTTTACTGATATATCATGATGATTTCTATTAAATCACTAACTCCTCTTAATGCTGGGGATAGAGTGGGACCCTTGTGAGGCCTTGGGTCTAGAAATTATCACACAAATAAATGTCAAATGACAGCCTTGTCACCTGCCACAGAGGAGAGGCAACTATGCTGCTGCTTCTCTCCTCGAGAAACCCTCAGGACCCCAGCCCCACGTCTCTGTTCCCCTTGAGAGCAAACCTCCCTCTGAGAACTGTCTGGAGCTGCTGCCTGAAATGCCCCCTCTTCCACCATTATTTTCCCTTAACTTTTATTCTGAAACTTTCATAGGCTAGAAGAATGATTCAATGAACACTCACATACTCTTCACCGAGGTTCAACCGTTAATGTCTCCTCCTCTGTGCTCATGCACCTACATGCCACACACACTCTGCTCACATACGCAGATGCCCATGACACACACATGCAGATACTACACATACAGGCCACACACACTTGGCACATGCAGAAACTCCACACATGCACTTTGGCCCCACCATTGGAGATGTGGGTCAGCAAACTTCAGCTCTAAATCACTTGGCAGGTGTCCCCTAAGAACTACTTGTAACCACACAAAAACAGGTCTCACAGAGCTCATGGTCAAGTCTCCCTGCTGTCCCAGTGATGTCCTTCCCAGAGGTTCATCCCCAGACCCAGAGCGTAATCAGCATTGTAAGACTGCACTTGTCCTTATCATCAGACTGGGCTCCACACACACCCCCATTTCCTCTTGAACCCACTCCAGTCCAAAGGAGGCAGGGGAAGAAGAGAGGGAAGGGGATCTGGTCTTAACTCAGCCATGGCATCTGTTATTTCCAGAGCTTTCTCTCCCTCCCACTGGGCCTTTGGGCCTTCCAGAAACACTGCTGGACTTAGCTTGGGTAGAGGGTGGAGATGAAAGCCTTTATTTCCACACAAGTGCAAATGTCTGAGTGGGACAGCATCCAGAAACTCAGGCTTAAATCTGATAACTTGTTGGAAAAAGAGGGCCACCACAATCAGATACTTAATAAGTCTTTTTGAATGATAAAAAATAAGGTATTTCTGAGCAATTTCAAAATGTTAATACTTCATTATCTAAGAATAAACAGGACCACATTTAACTTACAATGAAGTTCAGATATTGCAACATGTCTGGCTCTGGAACCAATTTAAGGATGAGACCTAGCAGGAGGGACATAGCATGACAAGAATGACCCCAAAGATGGCAAGTGTTAAGAACTTATCTTAAAAGGCAGTGGTTATTTTGAATGCCTTTGGTCAGACCCTGTTCTCCATACCACACAGCATCCTTGGAAGGTTAATAGGCAGCAGCAGCCTTTACAACGCCCTGCGAGAATGGCCAAGCCTCGAGCTGCCGAGCCTTGGCACACAGGCTGCCCAGGGGCGCACACATACCTGGGGGTCTGCTGCACCTCCGCCCACCAGTGGTAGTCGGTGTGGCTGACAAGCAGCAGGATCTGGCACCAGAGCAGCACGAGGGCTGGGTGCGTGGGGATCATGGAGCGCACGTGCGCGTTCAAGCTCTGCAGGCCATAGAAACTGCCACCGTTGCCGTCGGCAGTGAAGAGTCTGGAGGCAGCAGCTGTGATTCTCCGGAACATTCCTAGAAACAAACCAAAGGTAAACTGGATAAGAAGAAGTCCCTTCATTGCTCATCGCAGTCCAACACTTCGTAACAATGAAAAGATTCTACATAAAAAGGATACACACACAACTCTTTCCTTTACTTACAGACAAAACACTTGGCACTCACAAAACTGCAACTTTTCTAAGCGAAATCCAGATACTCTGCTGGTTTGTATGCTTATTTAATGGGGCAGCCAAGGTATCTAAGGCCCTTGCGCTCCGAGTCTTCCCTCACCGGCCCCAGCAGGCTGTCCAGGACGCCACGTCGAGAGCCTCACCTGTGCGGTGTCAGCAGCCGGCACTCCTCAGACGAGGCTATCAGCAGGAGGTGCTGCAGGTCACTGCCCCCGGGACAGCCACTGGGCAGGACCACCATGGCCCTCACCACATGCCTCCTGCCTACTGAATGCAACTTGGCTTGCTAATAGGAACTATAAGCAGTCATGTGGGCCACAACTGCCCAGAGGAAGATGGCATAGGTGCTCCACGCCAGGCCCCAGCTTGTGCTCTGCTGGCTCCTTCGAGCTGAGGAGGGTGTGGCCTCTGCAGCCACCGGGGGTGTCCTGGGACAAGGAGGTCATGTGGTCAGCCACCCTCACTCAGTGTGGGCAGGATGGCAGCAGGCCCAGCCAGACTCTGCCCAGGGTTTCTGCATGGCATCCTCCTCAGGGTCTGCAGTAATTCCCTCTAGGAATTAATGACCTCACTCTACCCCCTCCTTTAGACAGGCACAAAATCACTCAGTGTATCTCTCTCATCATCCTGCCATCACTTCACATGAGCTGGCCTTCACCCCAAGACACACGGACAGACACACGCTGCAAAGCACAGCAGAGGAAGACACTACAGGGATGGGGAGCTGGCCAAGGGCTCCCTGTCCCCTTATCTTGGGTCTCTTTGTGTAACTGCTGGAGAGCCCAATCTTATTTCTGGGTTAAGTTTCCACACATCCCAAATACAAAGGAGTCTTGACACAAGCAAAAGCATCCTTCTTCCTTACCTATCTCACTGGTCACACCTGTGACATGACCAGAGCACGGCGATCAGAAAGCACTGTAATGAGACCCCATACTCACACTGCCTCTGGCTTCACTTCCAGGGTTCCCTCTGGTGGCTGCATGGCCAGCACCGTCCATCTCTGGCCCACCCTTCCCCTGCCTGCTCCTTTTCTGTGCCCTCCATTTCCATGTGACTCTTTGCGGGGTCAAGGGACACAAAAGAAGAGACAGGTGCTGGCCTGAAGGAACGCTGAAGCCAGCCACAGAGCCCAGGCAATGGCAGCCCATGGACGTGGGGTTTTACTGCATGGGTAACAAGAAGCCATGGCAGAGCTGTGTTCTAGATAACTGAGTGAAAATGAGGCTCTGAAATCAGACCGTGACTCTGCAGTTTACTTTTTGGTGAGCCTGGCCACGTGCTACCTGAGCCTCAGTTCCTTCACTTGTGATGTGGAACTAGGAGGAGCAGTTGCTCACAGGGCTGCAGTAAGGGTCCAACAGTGAAACCCAAGTGAAGGGCGCAGTACGGGGCTAGGCGGAGCAGACAAACACCCAACCACCTGGAAGGAAGTCAGGATGGTTCAAAGGGCCTGAGGGGCAGTGTCCCCGAAGACGGCACAGGGAGAGGACAGGAAGTGAGGCGCTCACAGCGTAAGGGGGTCAGTGATCTGGGGTTTGGCATCTGGATGATAAATGCTGACCGAGTTAACAAGAGGAGAAAGCTGGAGAAACACCTCTGCCACGTGACAAACTGCGGAGAGAGTAGATCTCAAAAGCTCTCATCAGAAGGAAAAGTTGAACTTGTAACTGTGTGAGGTACAGATGCTGGACTCAGTGTGCACTGTATTCACACATCAAATCATCATGCCGCACGCCTGCAACTAACATAATGTTTGGGAGTCAGCTATGTCTCAGTAAGACGGGGGAAAGGAACACACACACGAGGCTGGACAGAGAAGTCCAGCAACAAGGCAGCTCCCCAGAATCAGCCCAGAAGTCCAGAAAGGGGATGACGTGGGCAGCTTGCAGGCGGCCTGCGCAGAGGCCAGAAACAAGAGTGGGAGGGCAATTCAGGAAGCAGCGGGGCACAGGAAGGGCTTATCTGGCCATCAGGGCGGATACAGCCAAAAGACAAGACAAGGAAGGACTGCTACTCGGAGTGTGCGAGAGACCGATGCTGAGTGCAGGCGAGACCCAGAGCGTGACTGGGAAAAGCAGGGAGAGAGGAGAGAGCAACGGCCAAATGCCTGTGCAATTGAGTGGGGATGAGACTTAGAAGGACACCAACCCGAGGTGGCAGGAGGAACTGTCGTCCTGCTCTCTCTGCAGAGCTTGAGTCCCTCCTAGGGGATAAGAGGTCTGGAGCTGGTCTGGGACACACAGGTCTGACCAAGGCCCTAGAAGCACCCCCACTGGCCCACCGAGGGCCCCCGTGGCAGGAGTCTCGTTCTGACCAGCTGCTAACCCTGCTGTGACGCCTGCCTCATCCTCCTCCAGGGGTTTCGGACTTTTGTCACCTTAGAACCCTGTGGTTTTCATCCCTATGGCTTAACAGAGGTGGCAAACTGCCCACCCAAATCTGTACATACATGACCCCATAGGGAGCTGTTGCTGGGAAGCAGCCCCCACCGGGGTGAACGAGCGCCTTGGATGAGGCAGAGCTGTGACTAGTTGGCACCAGAGCCAAAGCGACCCATCACTGCAGGTCCGGGCAGTGATGCCTCTCCACCTCCACCCTGCCCTTCCCTAACAGGACAGCCACGGGTGCTAATGCCTGGGCCAGCAGGACCCCAGGAAGGGGAGGGCCTGGGCCCAAATCCCCACGTGGAGGAGAGTCATGGGCACCAGAAGCCCCCTACCACACGGTCTCAGAAACAGAACAAACCGCTACTGCGGTGAGCCACGCGATGCTGGTGGACTAAGCGTAGAAGGGCTTTCGGTGTGGCCTCCCTTCCCAGTCTCCGGAGCAGAGATGACCACCTGAGACAGAGCGGAAGAAGGTCCTGGCCCATAGAGCGTCCGGACATGCTGGGGGCAGGGAGGCCAGGAGAGGTGATGGCCAGGGGTGGGGAGAGAAGGGGCCAGGGGCCAAGAAGGCTCCCCTCACCTGACCTTGTGGAATCAAAAGTGACAGAAGGAATGGCAGGAGCTGGAGCTGGGGACAGAGGTGACCTCCCAGCAGGCAGGAGGTCCAGGTCCACCGACCCCCACCCCAAGCCCAGGCAGGACGATCTCTATGACACAGCCTCTTCAGCTATAATATGGGTATCACCATAGATCACCCTGCAAGCAGGGCCCAGGGAAGGGCTTACAAATGCGTTGCAACATGTACCATCGTCAACCCAAGCAGTAGCGTGGTGTGACAAACAGAGGAGAAAGAGCAGGAGAAAGTCCTTGGGTTTTTAAGACTTGGTTTTACCATTCAGCCTTTCAAAACCCAAATTCCCTCATCAGTAAAAAGAGGAACTATCTCACAGAGCTGTTCTGGAGACTGACGGGGGCACTAGCACGTGCAAGAAGTACCACCTCCTGCAAGAGCACACCATTCTTCCCAGGGTGATGACCAGCGGCAGCCTGCATCCTTCCTGGCAGGAATGTGAACCAGGTCACTTTCATTTATGTACAAAGAGCCACTTGCCCTTCTGCCCCGGATTCCTAGCTTGCCCCACCTACAGTGGCAGCACTGACCCTTTGAAGGGTCCTGGGAAGGGATGCCAGCCTCGTGGCTGTGCCAAAAGGGAGGACGGGAGCCTGCAGCACTGGCACTCTGCCTGCTCCTGCTTCCAGGATGGCCAGGAATAGCTGAAGAGCCTGCTGCTGCCCTGGACCAGGCAGTAGAGGGCACCTGGGAAGACACGGTGAGGGGTGAGAAAGCCTTACCATGGCCACTGGCCAGGCAGCTTCAGCCCAGACGTGCCTGCAGCACAGTGGGTTCTCTGAGCCCTGTGCCCAGGGCTCTGCTGCCTGCTCCCAACTGGTCCCTCTCAGGGGGGAAGACAGGTATGAGTTACCCAGGTTTCGTATAATGGAGGCCAGGTGCCTGTCTTGGCTATTCTTTTATGTTGGATTGAATCTGAAATAGGGAAACAACTTTGGGATTCATGCCCCCTCCCTCAGTTAGAAAACTAGAGGTCCAGGCCTTTATTCAGACTAATTTCCATTTTGAGAAATAATACCTGAAATGGACAAATTCAAAGGTCTCAATGTTCAATGGAGAGGTGAAATTCATCACCTTTGTTTAAGCAATGAATAAATAAAAATTACCAACCTTACAAGCAAATGCACTTTATATAAAGGTACAACATGACCTTCAACTTAAACTCCATTTGAAAACCAACCAAACACAGTAATTCTGCCCCCAGCATTTTTAAAAGAAACATAGTCAAAATTAACAAGAAGACAAAAAATTTACACACACAAACACATCTTATTTGCAGATAAATACCAGGCCAACTGAACAACACATGAAGACATTAGAAGCAAAGCCCGTGTGCCCCAACACTGGGCCCCATTCTCCAAAGGACAAGCTGCTGCTCAGCACATCCTGACACGGTAGCCACTAGCCCACGTGGCTGTTCAGCTTTAAGTTAATTAAAATATTATTGAAAAGTAGCTCCTCACAATCACACTAGCCACATTTTAAGTGCCAAAAGCCACACGTTTCAAGAGGCAGCTCACTTAGTGCAGACCCCGAACACCCCACGCAGGCAGCTCTGTGGACAGCAGAGAGCAGACCACAATAACATTTCCCCTGATTTTTGAGATAGGCAAGAAGAGGAAATTAGAGCAATGGGCTATGAACACTTTGAAGGGCACAGAAACCCACTTGACATGCAAAGGGGCGCAGAACACGCCACTCTTATCCAAAGGAGGTAGAAAGTTGTCCTCAGAGAGGAGCTGGTGTCCATGTGCCATCTGATCCAAATCAGCTGATAGCCGAATATTAAAATGGCCAACACACTAAAATTCCCCACTGTTCACATGGACTTTCTCTTGATTGC